TAGTCAATGGAAGCATTGATTTAAATATTAGGCAATGGAAGCATTGATTTAAATATTAGTCAATGGAAGCATTGATTTAAATATTTGTCAATGGAAGCATTGATTTAAATAAAAGGGGACTACTGACTTCAATGCAACGTGAAGACGCTTAAATTATTAACTGAAAAATTATCGAAAATAAATAAGTTTATTTTTTCCCAAAATAGATAGTTTATATTATAGCTTAGGTTCACTATAAAAAATATCATTTTTTCATTAATAACTAAAGCTATTTTAGTGACAAGAGTGTTATAAAGACACAAAACCTTGGATTTTGCTATAAACATGTCATATTGTTTAAATCTATAAAATGCTAAATCTGCTCTATCTAGCTTTCCAGTGTTATTTATTTTAGAAGAAAAATCATCAAAAATTTTAATTCACTCCATTGTCAACCTTGATATTTTAATATTTTACTTAGTCAGCCTTGATATTTTGATATTTTACTTTGTCAACCTTGATATTTTGATATTTTACTTTGTCAACCTTGATATTTTGATATTTTACTTTGTCAACCTTGATATTTTGATATTTTACTTTGTCAACCTTAATATTTTACTTTGACCGCTACAGATAAAATTAAACTCTGACCACGACAGATATGATTAAACTCTGACCACTGAAGAAATCATTAAACTCTGACCACTATGGATATTATTAAACTCTGACCACAGTAGTTATGATTAAACTCTGACCACTATAGATATTATTAAACTCTGACCACTATAGATATTAAACTCTGACCACTATAGATATTATTAAACTTGGACCACTATAGATATTATTAAACTTGGACCACTATGGATATTATTAAAGTTGGACCACTATGGATATTATTAAACTTGGACCACTATGGATATTATTAAGCTTTGACTACTATGGATATTGTTAAACTTGGACCACTATAGATATTATTAAACTGGGACTACTACAGATATTATTAAACTTGGACCACTATGGATATTATTAAACTTGGACCACTATGGATATTATTAAACTTGGACCACTATGGATATTATTATATATATGTCGTTTTAAAGGTTTTGACCGACTAATTGAACCTCAAAATTAGGAGTTTACTAAAAACTGTGAAATTCATGTCGTTCTTGTTTTTTCTTTTTCTCGGGAATTTTGAAAATTGTATTCTTTACATCTGATTGAAATCTTTAAATCTAGGGAACTTTTTATAAATCGCTCATTTTTAAATTACAAAATCATGAGCTACAATTAATATCTTATGAATAAAGACCATTAGATTTCCCGTCATTTATAGTTCTCACTGTACGTTAAATGAAAGGTAAGTCAAGGAACTTGTTGAATATAGCTATAACTAGCACAGGAACCCTGCTTTGCCCAGAAACTAAGATTTTTTTCAACAAAAGGGACCTTCTCAACTTAAAATTTGTAAACCAAGTTAAAAAAAATCCCTAGGTTATACCAAATTCCCCAATACAAATTTGAGGCAAATCGGTCAAAGGGTTTATAAGTTATGAACCCCTTTGACCTTTTACTCAGGAATTTTGCAAAATGAAATAAAACTGATCAATGTCTTCAAACGTTCAGGGCAATTATTGGAAATCGCTCAATTGCAACTTATAAAATTCCACTGTTTTCTGGTTATTGTATTTTGTTAAATATATTTGTAATTAGCACAGGAACCCAGGTTTGCCTGGAAACTAAGAATTTTCTACAAAAGTCGACCTTCTCAATTTCAAACTTTTAAACTAAGTTTAAAAAACATTCCTGTTGTTCTTCTGGGTTTCATATCAGACATACAAACAAACAGAGATTACTACTTAGATATATAGATACTATACTAAACAGTAGTTTCAAGACTGAAGTCTCTAGACTGAAGTCTCTAGACTGAAGTCTCTAGATTAAAGTCTCTAGATTGAAGTCTCTAGACTGAAGTCTCTAGAGTGAAATCTCTTGACTGAACTCTATAGATTGAAGTCTCTTGACTGAAGTCTCTTGACTGAAGTCTCTTGACGGAAGTCTCTTGACTGAAGTCTCTAGATTGAAGTCTGTAGACTGCAGTTTTTAGAATGAAGTCTCTAGTCTATAGACTAAAGACTGCAGTAGACTGAAGAAACACAATGTAGACTCTAAACTTTAGAAACAGACTATAGACTCTGACTGTAGACTGGTGTGAGTGTTTAGCTCTACTGAACCTGAACCTCGGGTTCACCTGAACCCAGAGATAGATAAACCTCATATCCGTCACTTCTATCCGCTATCTATCTATCTATATATTTATCTATCTATCTAACCCAGGGTTAGATAAAGCTATATCTGTTACTTCTATTTAACTGTTTATCTATCTTTCTGTCTGTATGTCTGTCTTTTTATCTATTTTTTCTAATTTTCTATGTATTATTCTTTCTATTTGTCTGTATCTATATCTATTAATCAATTATTTATCAATATTTTTTCTTTACGTAGCTCTTATTCAAATTGTAAAATATTTGTTAATTTATTTTCTTTACGTAACTTTAATTTAAATTGTAAAATATATGACATTTTGTAAAAATCAAAAAGAATAAAGAGAAAATGGTTCAAGAAAACTTTAAATTGAAAAACCAAAAAAAAAAGAAATTACGAAACATGGCCAGAACTTTCTGAATGTTATATTCTTCATAAAAAAAAACCTAAAGAAAAAGAAGAGAGATGACCCCTTGTCACTACCTGGGATATCTATGAGAAATTACCCCAACATGTGATATCTATAAGAAATGGCCCTTACCTGGGATATCTATGAGAATCACCCCTACCTGGGATACTATGATAAATTACCCCAAACTGGAATATCTATGAGAAATGATCCCCTACCTGGGATATCTATGAGAAATTACCCCTACCTAGGATATCCTGAGATATATCTATAAGAAATGACCCCTACCTGGGATATCTATGAGATGAACCCTACCTGGAATATCTATGAGAGTGTAGGTCAACCTTAGGTTGATTAGAAGACAGCACCACAGTGCAAACATTTTACCTGTAATTAATATAATTAATTTAAATTTAAAACATGGATTGTGAAAAATAAGCAACCCTGAAAAATAAATTGAGTTTTGTCACACTTCTAATATTCTAATCCCTATATCTTTGCAACCTGATAGTAGAAACCTTTGATATTTCAAACTTAAGTTATTTGATCTATAACAACAAATATTTGAATGATTCCTTAACAAGTATTTGTAACGTCCACTAGAATATTAGACTACTCAGCTACAGTGTGTCCCACTAGAATATTAGACTACTCAGCTACAGGGTGTCCCACTAGAATATTAGACTACTCAGCTACAGGGTGTCCCACTAGAATATTAGACTACTCAGCTACAGGGTGTCCCACGAAACATGACAGAGGTAAATAGTTTAGAATGTCTTCTTCCATAATTTGTTTAATTGTTTAATACCAAAGACAATAATAAGATATTTTATAGGAGTCATGTTATCGTAAAATTAATTTCAAAGTAAAATATATTAGAGCAAAAGATTTTTAAACCAAATGAACTACATAAAGCTTCACTATTTAACACATTGTATGGAAGACGACATTCAAAACTATTTACCAACTGTCATGTTTCGTGGGTCGTTATTCCTGGTCACTAGGTTTTAACCTAAAAAAATTTTTGCTACTCTTTAATAATAAAGATTTAAAACTTAAAAATTAGTTTTTATTTGAAGGAGTAACTGGCAAAACTATGATCATTTGCATTGCTTACTATACAGAAAGAGATGGTAAAATGCATGCAACATCACTGGTATGGCTTTGAAACCCTGGATCAGGAACATGTACCTATACTAGACAAAAATAGCCTAATATCAGGAAAGGGTTAATGTGCACCTTTTTTTTCTAAATTGTGTGATGGTTTCATCCAGTTACATAAATTGTATTTATCATTTTCTAGACAAAAACTGCATAAAGAATTTTCAAATATCGGCAGTGTGTTTTTTAAATAAAACTTTAAACTATTTTTCTAATTTTGTAGATAATAGAAAGTAAACACAAGTTACCACAGATATAAAATACAATCCAGTGATGTGAACAAGAAAAGCGGGGGTGGGTGCTGATCGTACAACAGNCCCCCCTCCTCCAGACATAATATATTTTTATACTGAAAAAGTGGAACATATAATTCATGTTGACAAATTTTAACATGTAACATGAAGTTCTGTGAATATATGTTTTCTTAAATCTCTATGTACACTGTACACTGTACACTGTACACTGTACAGTGTACATTACGCTAAATAAAGGAATTGAGTCTTTGCCATTATACACTCTGATTTGCTAACCCCAATATCTTTGCACATCAATATCGTAGACCTTAATAGTGCAAACTATGAAATTTGTAAGTTTAAAATATCACAGGTTTACACCATACGTTGTATAGATATATGGATAAGAAGATTTGAGTTTTTGGCAAACACTCAATTCCTTTGAAAACAAATTTAACTAATATTTCAATTTTGCGGGATTTACGGGATGGAAAGCACTTGTGAGTGAAAAAAGTTTGAAAAGATGGAAGGGGGATACCATTTTTTGTTAGAAATTAAATATTCATGTTATTTGGCAATTCAGGATTTTTTTGGAATTATTGAATTTAAAGGGACTGTAAGGGAAACATGAAAGGGGGTATAGGATGAAACCTGAGAATCTCAGGCGTTTAACGATCTATCTGATGTTCCTGTCTCGAGAAATCAACATGAAACTGTGTCAAATTTAAACGAAAATTCAATTATATGCAATTTTGTATAAAAGTTGTAGGTTTAAACAGATGATATTCAGCAAATACGAAACCAATTGATAAGCAAAAGCGCGTGCATTCATTCAAATTTTGACAAAAATATTCATTAATTCGGAGTTAAAGAACATTGCGGATATAATTATTTTCAAATTATTTTTAAATCAAATTAAAGTTGTTCAAATTCAGTGAAATTCCATTCTAAAGTGATTTTTCTATTTTGATGAATATGTGTGGTGTTGATAAACTGCCGTATGTTACCCCCGAGCAATGATTAGGCCGTATACCTAAGGGAATTCAAGCAATAAAATGTGANATAGAGGAGAGTATCCCACCCTATCAATGTTATTCTAGTTATTATTTAATCAATTGTTGTAATACTGTAAATACAACTATAATTACTACTTTAAGAACTCTTATTAAAATAATACCAGGCTTTTAGGGTGCTTAGCACACATCTGATATTTCAACTTTTAATTGTGAGCATTTACTCTTTGTACAATATAAAACAATAACAAAAAAGTTCGTGGATTTCTTATCTAATATTTTTAAGACACATTTTTGTAATTATGAGCATTCATAAACCTTAACAATGGGGTCATGTAAGGTCCCGCACAAAATTTGGGCCCGATCGGTTCAGCCGTTTTGACGTGAATTGGATACAAACAAAAAACAGATAGACAAGCAAAGTGAATGAAAGACAGGTTTGGGAACCTGGCTTTGTCCGGACATATTCTTTATAAAAGTCAACCAACTCAACGCAGAACTTTTTAACAGAGATTATTACTTTGTACACAGCCGTTAACGATTTTGTTAACCGTTAGCACCGTTAATTCTGTAATAATAGTTGACATTTTTCCGTTAACGCCGTTAATAATATTGAGATCGTTAACTAACGGTAACATTAAAAAACAACGGAAAATACCGTTAACGAAACGAACGGCTACCTGAGATTTTTTTCTAAACACAGTTGGAACTAACCGTTAACAAAACGGCTTGAAAAATGTGAAACATTCCCAGTCCTACTTCCTATTCCACAGTTTTCTGGTTTTCCCTGTGGTTATATTTTTGATCTATTTTCGAACGTGGGTAAGATACAAGCTGTATAGTCTTTATATATATATAGTCCAATAAGAGCAATTACTTAAACCTTCAGAACATAATTTGTCATCTAAATAATAAAAGAACATAAAATATCTTGTGGCACACAGTAAAAAAACAAAATATTATAAACTGTAGGTTGATATCCTTGTAATTAAAGATTTTTTTCATTTTATGAAAGATAGAACAAAAAAACTATTTTTTCTCGTTCTTAGATAAAGAATTAAGGATATCGCTGTTGATCGGATATACCTATCTTTACTTAAAATTACGAGATAAAAATTGTATTCGTGTAATATCGATTTTAAAACTAAAATGATTAAATAAAGCTGTATTTTTTGTTTCTTTTTTCTTTCTCTCTGAATTTAAATTCTTTAAAAACATTTCAAATATTTAATCTTGAATTTCTTTATTCATCTTACAAAACGATTTAATGAAATTTTTAACATCTTTGCTTTTGATTATTGACAGGGGTTTTTAGTTCATAGATTTTGAAAAATTTTTGCTTTTTATTGTATTTTGATAATTGGATAGTCATTATTCGAAAAAAAATGTTGAATGAAAAAGTAAATTTGTGAATTTTTCACAAAAAAATTGGCGGATTCCATCAATTAACGGATAAAATCAATGTAATTGTATGTATAGTAAAATTATAGAAAAAATAACTTTATTTATGACTTAAAAGTCCACTTTTTCCTAATTACTAATTTACTACATTACTAATTTAGCAAGAAGTAACATTCACAAAATCAAAATATAAAAGAAACAAATCTCTTTCAATAATTTACGAGTAATTAAATAAACATGGATCACTTAGCAGGTATATCTTTTAATTAAATATGTTGATGTGGGTATGAATATAAAACAAAACGTCTTGAAACGCAGACTACAATCCAATATTTTTCTGATGTTGATATTTTAAAAACTGTCAGATTTTAAGGCAAAACAACTTTTAAAATTTTTCGGACGAAACTTTTTTTTGAAACTTTTGAAACTTTTTACTGATTCATTTGAGACATATTAAATGTTTTAATGATGTATAATTACTGAGTGTAGAGCGCAAACTCGACATTCAAAATCATCCATTTGGTTGGTAACGTTTAGAGAATAGATTTTGTTCGACTTACGACTTTGTTCGCAGATTTCTGCAAAGGTATTCAAATGTCGTCTTTTCAATAAAAATTCCAGAAAATCTACAGAAAAAGTTTGTTAACAATGAGAGATTACAGAAACTAATAACTGAATAAGATTACTTATTTCTGATGATAAAATTTTATTTTTATTAATTTTGGTTACATTTTTTGTCGTCGAAATGAATTATTTCGAACGTCGACTTTGCGCTCAAACTCAGTAATTATACATCATTAAAACGTGTCATATGTCGCAAAGTAATCCTAAAAACTTTCTTCACAATACTACATTTTCAGTTCAACTACCATGCATTGCAGGTCACTCCCTTTATCAGAAGATTGAGAGCAAGCATTGATATCGATATCCACAATATACAAGAGCTGCCAGCTCTGTTTATGTTTTATTAGAAATGTAGGATCTAGCTAAATGTCACAAAATCTAATTAAAGTTATCAATTAGGGCAAAAACTAAAGTGAAAATAATTTGATTTAACTCCAGCGATGAGTTTTTAATTTCAGTTTTTACAAGAGTAATTGTTCATATCGTTCATCAATAAACTGTCTTTTATAATTATACAAATATTTAGAAGTACTAGGCTTTACATCTGCTTTGCGTTCCTGTTATTGTACTAATTGTAGGATTTAAATTCTACTTTCAACAAAAATCTGGCCCCGTTCGATTTAGTTATTTTAGCATTTATTGGATACAAAGACATCTCCATAGCATACTTATAAAAACTTTGCAAAACATTATCATTGAAAAAAAGCATAAAAATTATGTCAAAATGTCGACATGCAAACAAGATGCTTCTAGTAAATGTAATGGAGATAAAATGTTGCTTTAATATTTAATTTTAGCATTTATTTAAAATTTATCATCTCCTAAAAATCCACAAAACATCTGTGATAAATCTTCAAGTTCATTAATACTGAAGATTGCATAAAGCATGAAATATTGTGAAAATGAATAAAATGCTCTGAGAATATATTGTTGTATTGTCACTGATATATAATCA